TTCCTGGCAAACACCAGAGTGACTGTGTCCAAAGTGGACAAAAATGGGAAACTTGTAAAGGACTCTGAGAACAGAAGTAGGAATGTTCCTCTGGTGCTCTTCATGTGTGACTGGGGAAAGTCCCTCAAGCTCTCTGCTAAAACTCCCCTATCCTTCTGATTCATCAAAAAAATGCAGCTTCCTAGTTTACAGACTGTTGCGAAGGTCAGTTTATAATGCATATAAAGATATAGATTTAGAAACAAGACAAAATTTAAAATTTATATTCCCACTTAGAAGCATTAGATGATTTTTATTTGTAACTACAATCTAAGTGCTATACAAAGTGCATCCAATGCAATCCCTGCTCCAAAGATTATGCTCCCATTAAAAAACAAACAACCCTACTTCTGAAGAACTACTGATTGTAATACTTCTGGGAGCAGCCATTACTACTTAACGTGTTCCTGAAAATTAAAGCAAGCAGCATGTTACATTTACTGCCTTAGAACTGAGTTACTGGGAGTTCTGAGAGTATTCCAGAAGCATTTTTCTTGTGTCTGCCCTACTACTTCAGTTGCTTCACTCAACATTTGGCTGGCCAGTGTCAAGAAGCAGGATGCTGCCTCCCAGTCAGGGAGTGCTGAAACCCTATTTCCCAGCTTCAGAGAAGAATATTTTAATTACACAGCTTCAGAAATTTTGAGCAGGGGGAAGAAAGAGGACAAAGGAGGAAGACAGCCTATTGAAGACAGCTCACACAGCAGAAAATAATGGAAGATGCACAAGGAGGAGCTTAGATCTGTGATGCAGTGCTGGATTACAGTCCCCAGACTGCTGCTGTGTTTGTCATTAAGCAAACACTTGGTCCCTGGCAGGCCAAAAGCCACCCTCAGTGACAAGTGGTGCAGCAAGGAATCGTGGCACCCAGCACACCCATGTCCCTCTGGGCTCCTTCCAGCCACCAGCATGGATCTAGCAGCCCCTCCTTCAGAGCAGCAGCTGCTGGAACACAGCGGATTTGCGGATTCTGCCGGTAGTCTCTGAGGAAGGCACAACTTTAATAGACACTGCTTCACAAGATTTTTTAATGCATTAGATGATTAAGGAGCTCTTAGCAGCAGCACACGCATTTTCTGCGGCGCATCTTTCCACCACGGACGCAGGAAGCATCGAGCCCTGCCTCAGACTCCGGGCTCTAGCTCTGCTGCGGGGTGAGGCACGGGGAAGCCAGGCAGGGCAGCACCGCATCCCGCGTTTGGCCTTCCCTCCCGTTTCTACCTCTAGCCCCAAGTGATAACCTCATGAATGATAAAGCGATAAACCCGCTTCCTACAGAACGGCGACAGGCGGAGTCTCCGGTGGCCCCGCCGGGGGAAGGCAGGAGCGCGGCCCCTGTCACAGCAGGCAGCACCAAGCGGCGGCTTGGCTCACCCGGCCGAGGG